TTATAAAACTGAATTAAGTCAAATTACTACTATTTTCCAAGCTGCTGTAGAGTATATAACATTGGGAAAGTATGGTGATCGGTCAAATTTTGAACTCCTCCCTCCTGATTTTTGGCATTTCTCGACGTTTTGACGCTTAGGGGATACAAAAAATGTAAAAACAAAATCTTACAAAGTTTTATATGCCTGTGTTTGTATGACTATTATGTGTGCATGGTCGTCTATTTTTCATTATGTCTCAGGACTGGATAGAACCAAAAATTTTAAGAATTAGCGGAATTATTTCTATATACGAGGCATTATACTATTAACTTTTGGTGTTTGAAGGTTAAGAGGTGAAAACACAGAAGGGGTCATGTGTCATATCTCCAGTGGGGTCAAATTTAATGAACGTTTTATTCTTTATTAGAATTTCCAATTTTTTTAAAATATCATCCTATCTCATAATAAATCCTTTGTCTTTTTATAACAATTTAAAATATAAAAATTATTTTTAAATAAAATCTTGTACAAGTGACACTATGTGCATCTGTACTAATGTGCCTTAGTGTTTTTTAAACGTAAATATTCTTTTAAATAGAGAAATTTCTCATAGGCCTAATTTAAAAAATATTCTTCTTAAGCTTTTGTTATTACTTAAATTTTATATTCTAGTATAATTAAAAATTATATAACTTCTTAATGGTACCCTTAACCTTCTGTTCGAGTGCCAAGAANGTGTTTTTTAAACGTAAATATTCTTTTAAATAGAGAAATTTCTCATAGGCCTAATTTAAAAATTATTCTTCTTAAGCTTTTGTTATTACTTAAATTTTATATTCTAGTATAATTAAAAATTATATAACTTCTTAATGGTACCCTTAACCTTCTGTTCGAGTGCCAAGAAAGTGGAGAAAGATCCCTTACCAGCTTTCTCTCTAGTTTCTTTCGAAATCAAGAAGAATCGAAAGAAACTAAAGGAAAGCTCTCAATAAACTCATCATCGATATATATAATATAATATGATTTCTATTAACAGGCTTACATTGTATTTATTATTTGCATACACTTGTAAAACAATACAATTATACTATTTTACTACTTATTTATAAACAAGGCCATCAAGAGGGAGGAGAGCTAGGAGAGCCCGAAGTGATTCCTATTTGTAAATTAATGTTATTTTTATTAATTAGAAGTTAAATCTGTAAAACGTTTTATATATTCTATTTCTTAAAAAAAGGCCCGCTCTACCTCCACCCTTAAAAGCTTTCGAAGGCCTGTTTAAAGGCTTGTTTATACAGTGAAACCTGTGTAAATCGGAATATTTTTTTCCTATTTGGCAGGTTTCCGTTTTGAAGAGGTTTTTTTTAACACAGAAAATCGCTTCGTTTCGAAGTATTTTTCTGTTTTGGAGAGGTTTTACTGTGTACAAAAACTTGACAAGAGAAAAGCTTAATATAGATTTATTCAACAGTGTAACCATTACAAAAGTTTTGAAAATAAAGTAGTTATTCCCCAAATATATTTAAATCATAGTCTCAAGTGTAGACATCTATTATTTATTTATTTATGTTGAGAATAACTAATAAGCTACTCACTCGCTCTCACCGTTTCTCAGATTAAATTTAATCTATATTCATAAACAGTACAATTCATAAATAAAATATCTTGTGTATTTATATATAATTTTACTATCCTTATTTTACTACTGTATAACATGAATTCTAATTAAGTAACACGATTAAGAAACGCAAAACTTCACTTAAAAAGAGGAAAAAAATTTAAATAATTAAAACTAAGAGGATAATTAAAATAATATTTTTCTAATTAAATATATAATTTCTATTCTTAGTTTATTTATAATTATTAAAAATGTATTTAAAATTGATAATACGACTTCACACCATCATCCTAAACTACGTAGATGATCCTAGAGATTAACATCATCTTTCAGAATGATCTGGAGGGAATCTTATTACGTCTCTGCTCATCTTCGTCGTAGGAATATCATCACTGTAATATATCTTCTTCTTCTATATTCTCACCAGATAAGAGACTAATTCTAAGAAATTGTGTCAACAAACAGAATGTCTCCTCTTTCGCTCTCACTTGTCCTGACTTATTTCTCATCACAGCTCAATTCTTTGATTAATGGAAAAATCTAACTCTAAATACTAACATCACTCGTCTCTCCTCAACTTTAAAATAGTAATTCTGTTACACATTATTAATGGAATCTTAAAAGTTTATTAATTAATTTTTCTCTTCCTTTCCTTTCTTTTTTTTTATGCTATTAATTCTTCTGAGTGCAAATTAATTTAAAGTGCATTCAGTTCAGTTCTGTAATAGTGCATTATGATGAGGACAGGTACAGTACCTTTCCTTAGTTTAATATTATTAGTGACGTGGGAAGGAAAGGAAGGCGAGAGGTGAAGCACGCGCGACCTACTTCCTGTCCTCGTTCGCCCTCTAGCGACAAAAGTGGGAGGTAATTAATGATAGAGCAACCTCTCTGTTTAATTACTGGTATGAACACATTGTCTTGATGGATTCATTTCTAACAGGGAAACAAGATTACCTGTCAGCTGCAGCTGATGGCTAAGCTTGTTTCGACGATCGGTAACTCAATAAAATTTCATTATTTTCTCTTTTAATTATTTACCTAAATCCGATGAATTCATTGATACTTATTATTAAAAATTATTTACTAATTAGCTTATTGTAAAGTTAAATTTTCAAATTTAAAAAAAAAGAAATAACGGACTCGTAATAAATATCAGTAATATCAGTATAATTTTGCAATCTTAAATACCTTTTTATTATATAAAGTATTATCTAACGAAAGGCAGATTTAAACTGTACAGTACTCTTTCCCCTCGTCTACATCACATTATAGTAAGACGAAGAAGAAATTTTAATTTACTGAATATATTCTTCAAAAGTTTAGTTTATATATCTAACTTTACACTTTTACTATTCATTCAATATAAATTTAAAGTATAGAAGGTATTGTACAGTATAAATACAAATGATAACGTCTCCATATTAACAATACTCTTCTACACAAAACCGCAAAACAAAGATATTGTATAATACAGATTTAATTAAGAAAAATTAACAAGTTTGTTCGGTTATACAATGTTATTGAATATAATTGTAGCCGTATATCGAACTCCTATCCCTTGTTACTTAAGGGTAGGGATAGAACTATGATGCTATAGAGGGAGAGAGAGACAAACAGTTTGTCTCTCTCTCCCTCTATATATAGCCTATATATATACAATATACAGGCTATTTACATATAAAATACCCTTCCAATATAGGATGCGGCTCTCGTGTATTTCTGATACACAGTATACGCTCCTATGGTGACACGGTTTAGCCACTCGTTATATAGCATAGATATAATTTATTTCAATCAAATTGATATATTTTTTTATAAATTTTACTACACAAATTCATACAAAAGAATTTTTTTATTATTTTAAATATGTTTCTAATATTTAATGAGCTTAGTTAGTCTTCTAATCTTATAAAAATTGCAAATAGATCTACGTTGACTATTAGTAAATATATTTATAAAATTTTATTATTTCAATAAATTATCGATATTCAATTTTAGACATATCGTATACAATAAAACTGATATTTATGCTTAATATAGAATGAATTTTAGGTTTTTATAAAATAATCTAAACGTGTTTATAAACTTAACTGTACGAAATAAAGAAAAATTTATAGCCCACAATGAAATTTTTAAACAGTAGTGTGATTATAAATATATAAAATTTAAGCATATTTTAATATTTTTTAAAAATAAAATTTATATTTATTATTAAGAGAAACTTTGATCGGTTAACTTACAGTGGGATGTAAATGACATTCATGAGTCAGAAGTGTCGATGATCTTCCATCAATTTTTAATAATAATATTATTATTTTTAAAATAAAAATTATGCTTATTTCATGGCATTTGAAGTTCCATGTTATCTTTTTTTTTTTGATAAAGACGCTTAGACATGATCCAAACCATCGCAGCATTTATCATTCACCATAACAGCCGAATGATTCGCTTTTCTTCGGCCATTCATTTTGCCTACAACTGAAATTGTTTAGGACACAATAGAGTAATTTCTAAAATAACAACACAACTTCGATATGAGAAAACAGTGTATTTTCTCATATCAAAGTTGTGTTTATCTTTGTAACAGTGTAACAAAGATGACCACACGTTACCCCATACAGTACAGAGCTAGAAACCCATAGCGACAGTTAAAAGATTTCATGGTAAAAAAAAAAGAAAACTTATAGGCCATATTAACCGCAATCGACGTGTTGACCAAGCATACAAGGAATTAAATCAGTTGTAAAATGTATATAAAACAAAATAAAGTCATTAATAAAAGTAGAAATCTTGCTAGTTTTAAATATTTAAGAGAAGGCATCAACGTTTGATAATTATCTCGTCTTAATCAACAAGTTAATAGACTATTAGGCCTCCTATCTAATCTTCATTTATTGATTTCTTATCATTAACAACTGCTTTAATTCTCTGCACGTAAAACACGATTACATTAGTCTACTTATTTTTTCTTTTTTTAGAATGAAAATTACTCGAATCTGTTCTACCAATAAACCAAAAAAAAAAAAAAAAAAACATTTAGAATAAAACAAATTAAAATAAAACTTAATTTTTTTACTATGTAGCAACTGGAATTTATGGTTTAGATCTCGGTGCTGATGCTTCAAGTATACATCGAATCTCGAGCTTCTTATTTAGTTATTTAATAAAATATTTTAACAGCAATTAAATAAATTCTGATATTAATTTTTAATTTATATAAAATTTTAAATAAAATAAAATTTGGTTTTATTTTAATCACTAAAAAAACTCGACTTTTTCGGTAAAAGACGAAGCAAGTTTATAAAAATTGCGACGAGTTATAGTAAAGATATTATTTTTAAAAAATTTAGCACTAAATATATAAACAGAAAACAATATAAGATACATTTTAATGATCTTTAAAAATGATTTTGACATTTTCATAATTTATTATTTGACATATCGATTATTATTATTATTATTAAGTATTTATAAAATAAGACGAAGGTCGACGATACAGCATACATACACTGTTAGGAATCTGAACTTTATTACATGTATATATATATATTACAATTAATAATCATTTTAACAATATTATAAACTAAGATAATTTAAAACTAATCAAGTCACCACAGTTCTAGTATCGTCGGAATGATAGGAATCGATGTAGGTTGTAGGACACCAAGTGGGTTGTAGAACATAAGGCGATAGTCCCAAATGAAAGGATACGTCTCTCAAATGGAGCGATCNAAAGGAAGGTTGCCTGTAAAACTGATTTTTGCGTTAAAGCATTTATTGTTTTTTTGAATATTTTGTATGCAAAAATTACAAAGATATTATTTTTAAAAAATTTAGCACTAAATATATAAACAGAAAACAATATAAGATACATTTTAATGATCTTTAAAAATGATTTTGACATTTTCATAATTTATTATTTGACATATCGATTATTATTATTATTATTAAGTATTTATAAAATAAGACGAAGGTCGACGATACAGCATACATACACTGTTAGGAATCTGAACTTTATTACATGTATATATATATATTACAATTAATAATCATTTTAACAATATTATAAACTAAGATAATTTAAAACTAATCAAGTCACCACAGTTCTAGTATCGTCGGAATGATAGGAATCGATGTAGGTTGTAGGACACCAAGTGGGTTGTAGAACATAAGGCGATAGTCCCAAATGAAAGGATACGTCTCTCAAATGGAGCGATCTTGCAGCCATTTCTAATCGTTCTAGTTCAGTTTCTTTAAGTCTTTTCTCTTTGGCTCTTCTATTTTGAAACCAAATCTTTACTTGAGTTTCTGTTAAATTTAACGAACTGGAAAATTCCGCTCTTTCGGCTATCGATAAATAATGTTTAGTGCGAAATTTTCTTTCCAATGACAGTAATTGTTGAGTAGTAAATGGAGTGCGAGGTTTCCTATTGCTTTTGTGTTTTCTTAATGGGCACTTTACTGCTGGAAGTTTCGAATATTCTCCAACTTCTATAAATATATAAATTCAATTTACTCTTAAATTGTAGATCTATTTATATTTATAAATAATTTACTGTAATTTTTCATTTTTTTACAGTTTTTTTTCGATATAGCAGTCAATAATTTAATGTATATTATATATAAATATAAATTATTCTTCCACGTTTTGATAGAAAAAAAACCGATTATAACTACTATAAATTTTAATAATTATTAAGCTTACAAATGACTAAAAAACAATTAAATATTAGCTAAGTTAAATACTAATTAGCCAATGAAGTAAATCACTTCCTATTTTCATGCATTAAAATTTCTTACTTTTAGATTATACATTTCTCTAATTTTTCCTAATTTTCCTAAGGAAGGAAATACGAATATATCCATTAGAATCAATAGATGGCAGCACATGTAGGAAATGATTTTAGTTATATTTAATATCATTCCCCTAGAAGCTAACATAGATTATACGTGTTAAAAATACAAAAATAATACAGAATTCTTATTAAGTTTTCCTAATTAGAAATTCACTTAAACGGACGTATAAACGTTATTTATATTTTTAAATCGTTTTATCCACGCGACGAAACTGTCTAGCAGTATAGGAAGCGATTCTTTCCCTGTTTAGGCCGTAGAAGTATAGGTTTAACAGTTGTAAAATTATAGATTTTTTTCTTTTATAATTTGTTAAGAACGAGCTAAAAACAAACAAAATAAGATAAAAAGTTAAAGATCTGACTTACTGTTTTCCGAATATTGAAATTGTCGATTGTTAAGGAGTGGCAAGATCCACTGATTAACATTTGGAACTTCTACCCTTTCCACTTCTAACTGACTGGAACTGGATATCATTTGATCCACGCTGAAGCTAGGTTTGGACTTAACTCCCGTATCCGGTGACAACAACGCCTCCACAGTAAACGATTTGACTTTCGACATGTCATCAAAAGAGGAAGTGTCACTGTAACCCAGACCTTTGCAAGTAGTACTAGATGTGAGATACCACGTGTTCTGAAACATTCCTTTCTCCTTCTTAACGTTTTATTGGTCACTAAAGTATTTTCCTTTCCCCGATTGGTAAGCTGGTGGAGAGGGTGTGACTATAATATCATTTCAAATCGTTCATTGGATAATACTACTTGGTAGGGGGAAGGATATAAAAGGACAGGAGATAACAATAAGAGAGCTAATGACTTGTTTTAGGGTATCGTTGTGTGAGAGTGGATACTGTGACCCCTCCAACCGTTTAAAATACTTTGTAAGTCCCTCGTCGGACAATTATGGAGTCTCAGTAAGGGGTCCAACTGCTGTATCGTAAACCTAATCGAAAACAACTTTTTATGTCCAGCTACCGCAAATACACACCGGCAACACGAGAAATAATTCTATTAAAAATCTAATTATCATCTTGATTTTTTTTAATTTTTTAAAATTACATTAAATATTTAGTGTTTAAACAGTTTTGTATTGTCTAACGATTGATACNATAAAGGCCACGCTTTTGTATTATAAAGCGAAAACAGTACATGTTTATAATTTACTTCTGCCTGCGAGATTATTAAGTTTTATTATCCTTTAAAAAGACGTAACAAAATAATGATGTAACGAGTTTATTTACAGTCTCTTCTGCTTTAAATAACCGTGGGAAACTTGACAAAAATTAGAGAAAATTGGAGAAAGTTCAGTTGTTACAACACGCGCCTCTAGGCTCCACTAGCCTAGAGGTGTACAGACAAACCGACTGGAAAGAATTACAACTTCATATTGTAGACTATAAAATTGGACAGCTTCACTGATTACAGATGATTTACATTTGAAATTGTATTAGTGTAATAAGTATTTTTAGTATGGAATTAAATATTAGAAACAGAAAGAATGGAATTGATAATTAACACTTTTCGCTATTTTTAATTTAAATATTTAAGATTTAAATTATGACATTCATTTAATTAAGACGTTCCACGGATTATTTATATCGTTATTTTTATGTTGTTAACAATTATTAAGTTTCTAAGATCTGCACTTTACAGAATTTTGATTCATTCGGTGCTGTAGTTATAATTATTTCCATTGCTGGAGAGGAAATTGGAAACGATTGTGGCAAGTTAAAATATAGTAAATGAGTTAAATGCGATTTTTTTTAATTTTTTAAAATTACATTAAATATTTAGTGTTTAAACAGTTTTGTATTGTCTAACGATTGATACATCTCTTCAAATTGCAATGTATGCATAAAATTAACCATCGAGTAACGTGTTTACAGTGTATCCTTTACACTAACCTATAGAAACAAGATGCAGAACTAATCTCCTCTAAGCCACAAAGGCTTAGGCTTTGAGATAGATATAAATTGTAAACCGAAGACCAGTTCTTTCAATGTAATATAAGCTATTATTATCTAATTATAGTTATTTGACACGTAATTACAGCTATTGACAATCTCATTAAAAAGCTATCTAGAATAATGTAAACAAGCTGTCATGTAACAGCATTTAATTTCAAGGAGAGACAAGAAGGAATGCTAGGTTAGAAAAAAGTCTATGGGTCACTGCCTATAACTTCTTTCTTTTTTTTTTATTTCACAAAAAATACTAATAGGTCATCGAACTAAATACTATATAAAACTCCTGTTAAATAAAAATATGGCCTAGATTTGAAAGGCCTGTTAAATCATAAGGCCTTATAAATATAGGCCCTATTATACTACATTGTAGAAAAATGATTAAATTAATTTAGAACAGTTAAATTATTTAATTATTATACAGATAATCTTTAAATTTTTAAAAAGAATTTAAAATAAGCATGCCTTTACTGTATAGACCTACTCATGTAGGCCTGCAGTTGAATGTGTTACTTTTTAATTTTTAAAAAATTAAAAAGTAAGACATATTCAACTGGAAGGGGGGTGTTTAACTTGTATGGCTTTATGGTGTGGCGTAGATAAATTGTAGTGGAGGAAGAATCATCGAAAACAAGCCAATTCGTGGAGTTTCCCACAGAAATACGATTCTGGAGTAAAGACTTCCAGATCTGCAAGATGTTCTAAATTAGGTTACATCTCTTCATTTGATGACCAGGGGTTGAAAAATAGTTGTCAGAGAGGAGGGGCAACCTCGCGGCAGCAATTAGGCACAGTGGGCACCTCGGTTTTACGACCCGGCGCAATTGATGGGTTTAAATCGTTTTACAACACTTGTGATGGCCCTCTTGTTTTCAGATGGGGAGGTCCATTTGGGAACGGACTTCAGTGTTTCCAGAAAAGGACAATTTATCATGCTTGTACTGATGTCCAGTTATGGGTTGTTAGTAGCACGTTTTCCCACGAAGTAAAATTCCATCGCACCTGACTGAATAAAGATGGCAGATGCTTCTCTAACAATACTAAATGCCTTTATTGAATTGTATTGAGGGACAATAAGTTAAATGCCCTTCTAACTTTTCAAAGATCTACTAATGAAAAGTAATGTTTAAGATTTTAATGCCGGTTGAGTTACAGTACAAAGTGTACAGGGAATTAGAGTAGAGGACGTTGAGAAAATTAAAAATAAATTAGTTTCCATCTTCAAGTAATTAAGCATTGTTGATTTTAAGTCAGGCAGAACTGATCGAATGACTTAATTATTTAAGTGATTATCTATAAGAGAGATTGATGTCTTAATTTATTATTATTCTCTAAGAAAATAATATGTTTTGTACAATTAGCTTATGACGTATAATTATACCCAATTAAATCAGAAATAGATTTTGTTGTACTGTTTAATTAAAAAGTAATAATAATAATAATAAACCCCATCTTTACAGAAGATAAAATAAAATTACAGAATTCAATAACCTATTTAACTGACTATTAGAATAAGCACTCACACCAGTACAAATACAAATAATTTTTATTAATTTATATAGTAACATAAATTAGTAACGTAATACTTTAATTGCATAATAGGATTTATGATTTCCAAATGGTTTAAGTGAAGATCTTAGTGATGTTCTTCCCCAAACTCCGTCTCATTGAGTTGGTTTCCGTGTGTATCACGATTTGCTATAGTGATCCAGGTTCGATGGCAAGCACACCTCCACACTCAATTGATAATATTTATAGTTTATTTATAGATTCTATATACAGAAAGTACAAGTTTGAGAACATAATATATGTACAGGATAACAATGCGTGATGACTCACGTACTAGATTGGTTTCTGGGAACTATTAAACTTTGGAGAGGCCTCAGTCAGCTTGTGGAGTTGGCTCAACTGCACGGTCCATCCAGTCTCTGCACTAACCCATCTCTGAGATGTTTACCAGGGGAGAACACACTCTCTATGCTCAGTGGGTGTCCAAGTGCCTGAGACTACCATGTACCAGTCTCTTGCCCTTCTCTCTCCCTCTCTCGTTTGCCCTGCAATTTAAGTGTTTTTTGGATGGGGACTTCCGACCAATCACAACTCCTTGCCTGAACACCTTACACTCGGGTTCGCCATCATCTGACGAGAGTGAAGCTTACATAAATGTCCTCCACTTGTTTACATTTAGTTGTTTACCATATGGCAAATGGTCTGTCATATGATCACAGGTGGGTCTAATTGACAAAGTCGGCACTTCCTTTGTTTTCCCTCTGTTTACAAGTCAACACCCTACAAGTGATACCCGACCACACGTGGGTCCAATTGACAGGTTTGTGCCTCTTTAGTTCCCACTCTGCTAAAAGGTCAATACTTTACAGTTTACATGAAATAATAAAAGTTAAAAAGCAACAAAGAAAAAAAAAGGAAAGAAAGAAAAGNTTTCAGACAGACCTTTAATAAAGAGTATAGAGACAAACTTATCATGAAAACAAACTAAAAAATAATTATTTTATAATTTTTAATCCCTTGTTTTTAGTGTGAAAACGTAGACTTAAATAAAAGTGGTGTCCTTATAGAATTTTTAAATTTAATTTTAATGTAAGTTAATTTTGTTTTTCAATATTTCAATATTTCATTCACCTTTAATGCCAACTCAGCAAATATTTTATAATATTTAATCGTTTATAGATGACAAAATAGTTGGCACCTGTCAATAATTTAACTCAGTCTTTGACTTTGATTTTAAGTATAAATTAATATATACAGTAAACGGAACCTGCTAAACCGGGAAATAATATTCGGTACCGTGTAATTCCGGTTTACACAGGTTTTTTTTTTTACTATATACTTTAATAAACACTTTACAATTTACCTAATTACAAATTTATCCTGAAACGATTCATTAATCCCAATTCTGTTAAAAAATAAAACTGGAAAATTTTAATGTTTATAATCGATTATTTTATGTTTTAAAGTATTATTTTGTAATTTTTATTCTTTCCTAAAGGTTTTCCTGCCAATTCCGTAAAACGTGTCAACGCAGCAACTCCACCCAATGTTCTCAGTTCATAAATCACTGCCATGCTGACAAATTAGACTCCGGACATGCAAAAGTCTATCTTAAAGTCGACGTCTTGATTTAAAGCTTTGACTGTGAAATTCGATACAGGAAGAGACAGAAGATTACCGTAATTTCATTTGATGTATTTGTCTATGGATCAGAGGCCCTACTGTTAGAAACAACACGAGATGTATTGCACCGTGATGATATCAATGATAAATTAAACGATTATCGTCGAGGATCCATTTCTCGGTAATTAGTTTCTTTTCTTTCCTTTTTTTTCTCCTTCAGGAAAAAAGGCACACACACAAAAAAAAAGGCTGATAGCCTACAGCTCGAGGGACGCTGCGTACTAGAACATTGTTAAAACAACAATTTTTTTTTAAATTATAGAACAGTTGTTCGATAGGGTAGGCTCGTTTATAGGTTTCTTTTTTTTTAATGAAATTCTTCCTTCGATTCGGATTAAACTCAGTATTTGCTGGCGTATAATGCGCACCCATTTCCAGAGGCATTTTTTTTCTTTTCTTTTCTTTTGTAGAA